GATACATTATATCCTTATCAATGGGAGATACCGTAACTCCATCAAATCGGCAAAGACATATCCAGGTACAGATGTGTCAACAGAACACAATCCAGTAATCATAAAATTCGAAATCCACTTTCGAAAGAAAATAAAAAAAACGGGTGTGGCAGTCCAGTAAGACTGCCGGTGGAAGTTATACTTCTATACACGCGTTCGTCGTTGAAAATTTCTATGGGAGAAGGACTGTATCAATATTGTAATGAAAATGTATATTTTTATTTTTATATATGTATAGAAGGAGTTGAATGCAAAAAAATTTTTTTTGCATTCAACTTGCCTCTGGCAAAAAAATGCAAGATCATGGCGTCTTCAGTTTTGGTATAAATGAAACCGGCTGGAGGGGGACTTGATACTCCTGAAGCATTTCTAGAAATATTATCTATTTCTTTGGCAATAAAAATGAAAAAGAATGGCATCGGAATAATAGTGTTTTAAAGACTCCAATACTGCGTATGCCAATATAACGCAATTAGTGATAAACTAATTCATCTTAGACTTCTGGACTCAACTTGTATCTTCATACAAGTTGTACACATCATACAAGTATACGTCAAGATTAACAGCAGACGACATAATTATGGAAAAATTGTATACAACTTTGAAGAAGAAGCTTGTTAGGTTGGGTAAGGTTCAACATGATTGGACGTTTAATCACCCTTCTACTCGACCTAAAAGATCGATTGTCGCTCATCCCTAGGTCAAAATGTACTTGCCTCAGTCTTTTTAACAAAGTCTAATATACCTACTAGAGTTGATAATGATGTGATCACAAACCTCCAGTAATGGAGTGCTACAGAAGAATAAGAGTTGATAAGGATTAACTGTACTGAGCCTTATTATATTAACCCTGGGCTTAGGGCCAGATTTTCTATTTCATTATTTTCTTCTTTTAGCTCCTCTTCTATGGTTTTTGTTACTTTTTACTCTCTAATCCATTTCAAAGACACCTAAAATTATATATATTCGTGTTTATATTTTTTTATCAAGTAATGGAAATAAAATACCTAAACATTACATCGTCCAGCTGTGGATACGTTGAAAAAGAAGTAAAAGATCAAGTAGAAAGAGCAAATAGATTAGCAGGATACCTTAATAACACTATATGCTGTAACTGACACATTAATATGGTAACGGAAATATTTTGCCTACCAAAGGGTTCATTATTACAGGGGTTAGAAAATTGAGGGAAGAAACTATTGGGGGTGGAGATAAGGCAAGCAAAATAATCGCTACTTGTGCGAACGGCACTCGGGGTTTGGTAGGAGAGCTGGGGTCGTGGATAAGTAAAAGATAAGGGGGTTGGATTGGGGCAACTACAAAAAAATTAAATAAAGGGGTACTTATACTAATCTCTTGGGGCAAACAAAATGAAAATAAACCGATAACACCTTAAGGAATTTAATATAGGGCGCCACTTGAGGTGCCTAATTATACCTATTACAACCACTAGTTGTTACTAGGGAAATAATTATAAAACATCGAAAACATATCTTTTTAAAATAGAACTCAAAAAAAGGGGTAGTTAAAAAAAATAAACAAGATGTTAGAAAACAAAATTTAACATTTATTTTTGTGTCACCACAAACAGTTACAACATGAAGAAATACAAGAATACAACAAACACGTGTATCATCCACTTACGAACTCCAGGAGTTGGAGATACTATTATAAAACTTACAAATGTTACCGCATTACAATTTTTAAATGTTACAATTTCTAAATTTTAACGAAAGCAATTATTGTTCTAAAAAAATATCTGTCTTTACTTTGAAATTAAACAAACAATAAACAGTTAGCTGGATTCACATATTTCCACTTAACGAAAAAAAAAACTCGTTACATCTCTGGAGTATCTATCCGGACATTGGTGGGCTGGAACTAGTACACTTGGAAAAACGGGAACTCTCAAAAAAACAGGAACTAAACTTGTTCAACTTTTCAACAGGAACTAGACTTTTCAAACATCTTAAAATCTTCAAAAAAACGAAACAGTGGTCACTCTTTCTAAAATGACATTTACATCGAGCGAAAACTCCACCAATTTTGGCAAATCAATGCCGGTCACTTCATAATAGATAAAAATCCACCACTACTGCTACTTATTTCCACAAAAGGAGCCAAAAATAGAAAACCACAAATTCGACGACGAATTCGGATCCATACCTGAGCCTAACGAACTGCTCGGGGACCCAAGCATGAATTAAGATCCATACCTAACACTACGACGACCCAAGTATGAATGACGAATTTAAAAATTCTTTCATATAACTTGAAAACAAACAAAACGCTGAAATAGCAAAACACAACGAACTTAAAACGTAAAAGATTTCACTTGTACAACGTATAAAAATTATAATGCGACTTCGAATAAAACATTAAAAGAAATTGCCGAAAAAGTTAAAATAATAAACACCTCTAAAATAGTTTATTTTAACATCTAGCAATGCAAATACAATTACTGAAAATACTTTTGCGTATTATAACTTGAAAGATACGAACTAACAAACATGGAAAAATTCTTCGTTTTGTTTTTTAAACATATATAAGGCGATTTCCATATATTTCATATACGAGGATATTTCAATACACTTCAAAGAATCAATGAAATTGAAAATGCTACAATATTAAGATAAAATCAAGAATACTTGATATACTAATACTAATATAAGGCAATATAAGAGCAATAATAAATAATAATAATAAGAAATTAGAAAAACAGATTGCCAATTTAAGAACTGATTTTCAGGTGCAGGTGGAGAAAAATGCGCATCTGGATGGGTAAATTTCTACACAGGCCACATCCCAATAAAGTCAGTCGACAATGTAGCATCGAACTGTTGGTTGACATGAGGAAAAATGTTTCCTGAAATAGAAGGTTCATTACTTGCGATTCAGAATCAGGTTATACCAACTTAAAATTACCTGAAATATATCGTCAAAGAGTATCAGTAGGGAAAATCCTTAATCAAGAGATAGTTTTGAAACTGGAACTTCTACAAACAAACCAACTCCCATATTATTAATACGTTCCTAAAAGTATACTTAAAAATGACAACTACAAGCTATACTGGGATCGCCCTATGCTCACAGAGCAAACTGTAGCGCATAATAGAGTAGATCTCGTGCTAGTTAATAAACTAACAAGACAAACAATACCAATCGATGTGGCGATTCTTCTCCTTCTTTAGGGACCGTCTCCTCTAAGGAGGTTGGTAATCATCACAGCTATTTTCAATTTTGAGATTGCAGCTCTAAACAAGTCGACGGAACTGCAATTATACCACTTTCTCAGATTGTTGAGCCAGGAAATGCGTTTTCTTCCAATACTTCGTTTTTCCTGTATTTTTCCCTGCATTATGGTTTGTAGCAACACATATTTATCCCCTTTCATAACGTGACCGAGATATTGTATTTTTCTTATCTTAATCGTATTCATGATTTCCATTTCCTTTGTCATCTTTCTGAGGACCTCAACATTTGTTATTAGGTCTACCCAACTTATTTTTAATATTATTCGGTAGGTCCACATCTCGAATGCTTCAAGTCGATCGCTCACCTCTTTCTTTAAGGTCCAGTCCTCCACTCCATACAGCAAATTGTGGCAATACCTAACAACAATAATCTGCGTGTTAAGTACAACGAAAAGATCGCCAAGTACAGAGATATGGAAATACAAATTTGGAGACAATGGAGAATGGAAAGTACCCAGACAATAATTATTATCTTTTGTACCACTGAAGTCATGTCTAAGAACCTTCTAGAATACATAAAACAGCTGAGTCTAAATGAAAATCTATATAAGCTATGCTACTCTCGACGTCCAAATACGCGCGAAAATTTTTGGAAGATACACCGACGTACCAAGTCATCTAGGACTCGATAACATGAAATAGTCCCACCAAAGCTCAATACTTTTGATACCGTAGGTATCTGGGATGAGTGAATTTTCCTCTTAGAGGGAGTGTGATTGGTATGGTGTAATTTGGATAATAATAATATCGTATGGCATTTTTCCGGAATGATTCCTTCGGATTATTCCGGCGTCAACTGCATATTTTACCATGTTTCAGGTAACTAGTAGCGATTCACAATATCATAAGGAAACCGACGGTTGTACGTGGCATCAGAAGCACGGTGGCGACTCGTCATCATATCTACGAAGCGTCCTAGTCCAGAAGGCCAGTATCTTGGCCGCTGAGCTACGTCAGCCACTGTAATACCTATAATGACGTATCCATCACAAACAAAACCTGACACAGACAAAACCCAGAGACTGCTGAAAACGGCAGAAATGAGAATACTCAGAAGAATTACAGTAAATACACTAAGAGACCGAGTAAGGAGTGACGATGTCAAAACAAACTGTAATAGACAGGTTATAAATGAGTGGACACCAAACAAAAAAATGAATGAAAGGCGTGATTCAAATCAATAGAATGACGGACATAAGAGTTCTTAATATAGCAAGGGACAAATCACCAAGTGGTAGATGCAGTATCGGCCCAACGAGCAAGAGATGGAGTGACAATCTTCCATACAGGTAACAATCCGCTAATGAACAAGCAACACTGCTATATAAAGGAGAAAGAAAATTAATTTTTTATATATTATGTAAATCGATATTTTTAGGTCGAAAAAGTCAATTTCTTTTGCTTTTTATTTTCATAAACCCATTCTTAATCTATCAATTATCAAAATTACTAATAAGTTTGGATACATATTATTTCATCTATAATGTAATATATAGGGATGAAGACGATTAGTATGTTTTAAACCATATTCTCTCGGACAAACTGTATTTCTAAGAAATGAAAACATTTAAAACTTAAATTGAAAAATATACCAATTACGTGGAATAATTTCATTTCCAAATAGAAAAATTGCCTTGTTTGTTTCACCTCTCTTAAATCACATCACGGACCTCACATTTCCAATTGAATCCCTAAACCGCAAGTTGAGTCAAAGTAAAGAGGAAATGCTTCGTTAAATGTCATTTATTTGATACCCACTAAGATATTTTCGCAATAATACATAGCAGTGATCTTCTTTGAGTGACAGAATACGTATTAAAAAAATATCATCTTCGAAAACTCAATACAGGGAATAAGATATTAAATTGTGATCATATATATTAAATATGAAGATGTTGATAAGACTTTTTCATCTGTTAATGGTGTGTTGTGTGGTATTGCTCATTGCTTGCATACACGACTCTGAAGCAAAGCGAGGCGGGGGATCAAGAGGAGGAGGATCTAGATCAAAAAGTACATCAGGTGTGTATTTGGTATATATATATTTGAAATGCGTTTGTGTATAGAAATATGCAGACAGATATCTTATCCAGGCTATTGAATTTTTTTGCTAGCAAATTCTATGTAACATATGTGTTAATATTTATATTAATACGAATAAAAAATGCCATAAAAATCAACAAAAATTTAATATACCCGTAAATATGATAACAAGAGTTATTAAGAAAAAAGTGACAAGAGGTATTACTAGGGTGTGAGTCATTACTTTCTTTTTCTTTTGTAATTTTTCTGACAGATTGTTCATCTTCAAACTCTAGCAGTTTTTCCGTTCGCAGAAAACTTGTTTCTGGGTGCACCGTCTGAAAAACGGTAGATTTAGCTGATAGGTGGGTTGTGATTTCTATAATAATACCCGTTGGTATAATTGCCGAGTCCAGAATTTTAAATAACCTTCTGTGTTGTCCATGGCGATTTTTAGCGCAAGCAACGTATTATTGGTATAGACCTAGGACAAACAGTGTAACGTCATTGCTTTTTAATACTCCATGAGGTCATTATAGTTGAAAATGTCATTAAGTCTAAAGGTTGTGCTATCTAATACTTGTATTAAATCTTAACACGAAATTGCCATTTCTTTTTTTTTTATTAACTCCAATTAAGATTACAATCTATCCAAAAATAAAGAATAAGTTTTTTGTTTGTTTACATAGCGTGAAGAGAGCCTCTTCCAGTGGAGAGTTCCTTTTTCTTTATTTAGCAACTGTAAATGTTAATTATTAAAAGTTAAAAGCAATAAAATAATAAAACACAATCACACCTATATATCACATAATTAAGGTATAATTTAAAATACAGTTGGTTTTGCTTAAATATTAAATCTGTTTCGTAGATCATTTGGTTTAAAACGTTTCAGCCTGCGCACTTCATTATTGTCATGGAATAACCGGTTCGCGAGTATACTGGGATGCACTTTTATCCATTCAGCGTATTTGAAACTATAAGTTGTTACAACTTCTTTTATTGAACACACTTCCGGATCGTTTTCTATAGTGGAGGATGTAACATACCAAGGAGCATTTACTGCAGGTCTTAACACTTTATTCTGGAAGCGTTGGAGGATTGCAAGATTAGAATTGCTAGCGATGCCCCCTAGATGAATACCATATGTCCATATGGGCTTGAGGATCACCTTGTATATAAGCAGTTTGTTATCCAATGTTAATTTATAGTATTAACCAATCAACCAATACATATGTCTTAATTTAATATCCTGTTGTTTTCTTTTGCTAAAGGTGTACTTCTGGCAAGTTAGTCGTTTGTCAAGATGGATACCTAAGTAGTTTGTCTCGTTTTCCTTAGTAAATTGCTTGCCACTGACTGTGACTGGAGGGCATTCAGCTCGTTTCATTGTAAAGGTTACATGTGTTGACTTGATTTTATTTACTTCAATTCGCCAATTATTTTAGTCAAGTTTTTTATTTAGGTTTTTTTGTAAATTTTCTGATGCTCCTGTAAGACTAGAGCCCATAGCCAGTATTGCGGTGTTGTTTAAAATAGTAGCGCCTTCTGTACTACTGCTGCATAAGAGACATGCAGTGAACATGAGGAATAAAATAGGTCCTAGTACGCTTCCTTGGACTGCTTTGATAGAGTGGAGCTGAATATATCCATCGTGCTGCTTTACCAGGAACTTTTTATCTGGTAGGTAGGATTTTAGGAGTGGAAAGAAAGGATATGATAATTTTGTTCTCATTTTATAAAGTAGGCCTTCATCCTAAACTTTATCAACGGCTAAAATGACTTGTAGGAAGGCTGCTGAGAAGTAGGATTTACTTTTCAGCGCGTAGTACATTTTTTTTACTATTCTTAGGACCTGGTCGATTATCCCATGCTTTAATCTAAAGCTGAATTGGTGGTTCGGAAAAAGTTTAATTTTTTCTAAGATTGGAATCAATCTTATCAATAGAAGCTCTTCGAATACTTTCATTGATTCGGTAGCAAACTTATGGGTCTAAAGGATTTTAGATCTTCTGGTTTTTTTCTAGGTTTTGGTGTCAGGATAATCTGTGAAATTTTCCATTGACCCGGAAAGTAACCTGTTCTAATAATGGCTTTAAAAATTCGCTGCAGAAATTTGTACCTTTTATTGTACAATTTTGCTTGTAATCAGATATAACTATGGGCCTTTTTTTGGTTTTATAATTGCATAATTATATTTCTCATTTCGGTAAGAGTGAAGATTTTAATCGGTAGGTCCAGTTGAAGCGGAACTTCTAAGAAATCAGAAATCTCGCTACAATTATTGTCGTTGGAATCTGGTTCGTTTGGTTTAAAAACTTTAACCCTGTTATCCCTGGCGTATTTACCCTTCATATCTTTTATCGGAGGACAATATTGTCGTGGTTGTTTTAACCTTTCAAAGTGAGTAATCTGTATCTCAGGTGCTGCAGAGAACTTAGGTAATTTCCGATACCTTTGTTTTTGTTATTATTTAGTCACTTTGTTAGATCTTTGGTAGCTCTGTTTAGTTTTGCCTTATACCTTGCGCATCCCGATATCTACCATTTTTTTTCGCAGCTGCCTTTCCTCTAGTATTTTTTGTTTAATTGTAGAATCAAGATTTTTTTCGGGTTTAGTGTAGTTAATAGTCGGGGTTGCTGCCCCCGCTGCTTCCTGTATACCTATTGTGAATTCATTTAGTTGCATCTCCTATTTCTTGTAGCGTTTTTAATGAAATTTAAATTACAGATTAATTTGTACATCTAAGTGTTCCCTAAATTCTACCCTACAATTTGGTTTATTGTTATGTAGGTTTGTTGGACTTGGTTTTTTAATAATTTTATTAGATTGTGAGGTTATTATTGGCGAGTGATTCTAGGATAAATCTAGAGAAGACTCAACCTAAAAATGCGTTTTACTAATTCTTTTTATGATCCGAAAGTTTAGTAGATCGGACAGTTTTCTTGGATCGCTGAGCCAATAGGTTGGTTGGTTAGTACTTAAGTATGTTGACTTGTTCTCTGATATGGCTGCAATAAATTCCCTGCCCTAAAATATCCTAAATAAATTACTATTAGTAATCAGTTAGTTAATTAATTGTTTATACAATATCACCATATAATGTCCATTTACTTGAGTTTTATTCACAAACTTGTTAATATCTTTGACTGCTACATGTCTTTTTAAGGTAACATTTATAACATCGTTTCCATGATTGTGTGCATCTCATATTGTACTTTTTAGATGAACTGATGATGCTTTCAGAATACGAAAGCAAAACGTCTTCAAAATAGATAAAGTAGCCTATCAACTTTGTCTTGACTCGACTCGATATTAATTTTAGACTTGTTTTCAGCGTGTTTAATGCTAAGTTGGGATGTAAACTGGACGGGACCGAAGTTGCAATAGGTTCCTACGGATTCGGACAAAGAAATGAAAGAGGTGAAATGTTTTTGGGTTTCTTGGTACGAAATGGCCTATTTGCAATGAATAGCTTTTTCAAAAAAAGTCCCCAAAGAAAATGGACCTATGCAAGTCCAGATGGAGTCACCAAAAATGAAACTGATTTTGTCTTAACCAACTACAAAGACATGGTCCATGATATAACAGTTCTTAATAGCTGTTCAGTAGGAAGTGATCATAGAATGGTAAAAGTGAAGATCGTGCTAAATCTCCAAAAACAAAAATACAAAATGATAACAAAAACACACCCAATAGGATGGAATGCAATCGAAAACACCATGTCCTTCGAAGAGGAAATTCTGAGATGTCTAGAGACAAAAAATATAGACGTTATTGATGTTGAAACCTTAAATGATAACTTAATAAATGCTATTAAGAACGCAGACAAAAAGTGCAATACAAATCCTAGGAGAGAAAAGGAGGAAAAAATCAGTCAAGAGAAAAAAAGACTTATGGAGATACGAAGAGAACTTAAGAACAAAAACGATACGAATGAACGAGTACTACAACAACAATAACGATATTAATAAAGCAGCGAAAAGGGACGTACAACAATATAACACAAAAAAGATTACAACGGTTGTCAAGGAAAATAAAAGTTTAAAGGTGCTAAAGAGATGTCAAGCTCTAGGTAAGAGATGTTAAGCTCGCAGATCGAAATAAAAAAGTGGTAGGTAACAGATAAAGATAAGATAATTAAGGTAGTTGAAGAATTTTACACAGAATAATATAGAAAAAGGTTTCAGAAAGATGGCACCAAGTTGAGAAAAGTCCAGAATGTGGGTTCAGAGGATATCCCAGAAATAACAATCAAAGAAGTCTCAAAGTCATTAAATCGAATGAAAAACAATAAAGCAGCTAGTGATGACCAAATCGTTATTGAGGCAGTTAAAGCAGGAGGAAAGACAGTATTAAAAACATTGACACAATTATATAACTTATGCTTTTCAAAAGAGGTTACATCATCTCAGTGGAATAAAGCTGTTTTAGTAGTCATGCACAAAACATAACACGCAGGAAGATATAACAGACTAAAGAACTATAGACCTATTAGCTTGTTATCTCACGTTTATAAGTTGTTTATGAAGATAATAACTAATAGGTTGACATCAAAACTAGACTTTTATCAACCTTGCGAGCAAGCAGGATTTAGAGCTGGATAAGGAACAAATGATCATTTACAAACCATTAAGTCGTTAATTGAAAAAACCAATGAAGATAATAGACCCCTCATACTTTTCTTTGTCGACTTTGAAACAGCATTTAATACCGTCAATAAAAGTGAAATGCTACAAGCTTTAACACAATGTAGAATAGATTACCGATACATATCCCTCATCAGATACATCTATCAGCATGCTGCAACCTGTGTAAGACTTAATGAAGATACTGGAAACTTTTCTTGAAACAGGCGTTCGAAATTATTTACAACTTTGCTAGAATACGCTTGTAAAACAATAGATTGGAACAAAAAAGGCATCAATGCCATCAATAGAAGACAAAAATATTGAGCCAGTTAACTCTTATAAATACTTAGGCCATGACATCAAAATAAGTCG